CTGACTTTTTTTTACGGTGCGCTAGACACCGTGTTTCGTACAGCGTCCTGGTTGTCGCCATCAAGTGGTCGGGAGTGTGCTAACGCTTCAGACTCAAATATCGAGCGGAAGTTTATACGCGGTTGTGAGGTATCTGAAAATATAGTTCCACTATAGCAAACAACACGGATTGAAAGCATACACTGCGACGATATATTTGTTTTTAATCATCAATGAACACCACCAACCACTCGGGGAGTTGCACAGTTTTGAAAGGGTTGTTTTATGGACATGTTTGTGCATGCCCATAGACACCCAGTCTAACGCGGTCACAGGCGATTCTAAAATAGTCAAAAAGTCGAGACAGGACCCAATGTCGAAATTTCTAAGTCCACCACTCTATTTCATTCAAAACAAACTACAAAATAGACTCAAGGTGTTAAATACCGGAATTATCCTTTAAACCACTGGAGTCACATGTATTACTTTAATGATGTCTTTACTACCTTTCTGGGCCTTGAAAGTGGTAGTTTCTTAGGCTGTCAATGGAAGGATAGAAAGCTCTCAAATTTCATCAAAAAGATCTTCATTTGTGTTCTGAAGATGAACAAAAGTCTTATGGGTTTGGATCGTATTGTAGATTTTCCCTACACACCTGACTAAAGTTTACCTGGGGCGTTTTCAGTCGACGCTTAATAACATTTATACTCTAGCACTGCGTCCACAGTCGACAACTAGCTTCGAGTCGGACCACATCTCGAACACTCACTTCTGAATTGTAAGATCTCTAGTGTCTAGTCTAGTGCTGCGCAGCAAAGATCAAACCGACTCCTGCATTTGCCCTTGAATATGCTTTAATTAATCGGCCGGGTGTTTTCATGACAATCTCAGAGATTCATCGGCTTCATCAAAAATATAACTGTTTATAAATGATAGAGGTACAGAACACAGCAAAGTAACTTGATATACTACTTGTGATTATTGTGTCAGCCTTTTCGTATTTGATTGGTTCATTTTGTGCAAAACACCATCAACCCACACCCTCTGTAACTGGAGTCAGAAAAATCATCAAAAACATGTAATTCAGTGTTATTTCTTTGTCGGTTACTCGGTATATCATAGGGGTGTAAAGGTACATGTATTCGTATTGAACCGTTTCGGTTCGAGGCTTCCGGTTCGGTACGCATACAAACCGAACGATTGCTTGGACCATTTTTCCTGCCGGCAAAATTCGTGCTGACGCGGCCAACACAACGTTGCGCAACATCAAATGGCAAGCGTAATGAAAGCAGAACGAAACTGCGCTACTCGTTATGTGCTTCACGGATCGTTTATCAGTTCGGACCAGCAACATCTGTGCAGCGCGAGCCGATCTCGATCAAGCAACACTGTTACTACACAGCGCTAAGAGATCCGGTAAAGAAAACATTTGAATTCGCCACTGAGGTAATAACATCTCTGCGAGGAGATCTAGTGAGAAGCATTCACATTTCTCCCTTATTAACCGTAGATCTCTATTAGATCAAACAGCGCCGTCATGGAAACCAGGAGAAACATTGTGCCGTGAATGAACTAGTAATACTTTTCGTCCACAGACCAGCAACATTCACCATGGATTTAATATAGTAACACTAACTGGAACCAGTTTGGCTGGAATGGTGAAATGCTTTCAAGTACTTCACACATCTTTTTCCAGCACTTCAAAATTCTAATATTATATAAATAAATATATATTTAAAAGTTATTTTTAATGTGATGACCAAAACATTATTTGTTCATCCTTCAAAGATGACCCCCATTTATAAACCTGAAAGTTTCAAGATAGGAAAACTCACACTTATTTAAAAATATTTTTTCCTTAAACAAATAGGACATTTCTCTGGCATTTCTTTCTTTTTGCTGTATCGAAAACGTACCGAACCGTGACTTTAAAACCGAGGTACGTACCGAACCGTGTTTTTTGTGTACTGTTACACCCCTACTATATCATGATACCTCAATATATCTTTGGGGTTTATATGATCCCAATCGACTTTTCCGTAGTAAATAAACATGGTTCCTTCATTCAGTTATATAAAATTGTCACTTTTCCTACATTGTCTATCTATACACACACACACACACACACACACACAAACTGGTCTTGATTCGGTTGTTCTAAAGGTATGTAAAAGAAAAAGAAAAAAGTAACACATATGGCCATTGGGGTGACCTGACGTGATGCCATGTTTTGTGTGGAAATAGCCGTACACCCAGCTTTCTCTCATACATTATTTATTTATTGTTAATGAATGAGGCCCAATGTTCTTCAACAGTATTTACATGCTATTACATATTTGCTAAGAAAACTATGAAGAAAAAAAAAATGCAAGTATGACAGTTGATGTTGTGACCAAAACGTAGACATTCTCCCGATCCACTTTTGTGGTGCATTCTGGGATTTATTCTTTTTTCTGTTTAGATTCTGTCTAACTCTAACATGAGTGTGTCTGATTGTGTTGAAATAGGTGAATCCACTGCTCGAGGCCTTTGGAAATGCTCAGACGGTCATGAATGACAACAGCAGTCGCTTCGGGAAATATATCCAACTTCGCTTCCAGAACTCTTCAGGTTTGTTAAGATAAGATAAGATAAGATAACACTCTTCTCTCTGACCGTAATGGATCATACAACTTGGCAGCTTCCACTGGGTGTGTTTCTTTACCAATAAACCAATTCAGTATTCTTCGATTGAACATTAACTTGAATTTTGATGTCCTTGTAGTGAAAGGGGCCAAAATCAACGAGTACCTCCTGGAGAAATCCCGTGTGGTTCACCAGGATGAGGGTGAGCAGAACTTCCACATCTTCTACTTTATGTTGGCCGGCATTTCCATTGAGGATAAAGAGATATATGGCCTCCTGGATCCTACACACTACCGGTGAGTCATCAGTGATGTCATGCATTCGTAAAAACAGGATCAGCCACATTGTTTACGATGCATGTCATAGATTAGCATTTTAACAATGGTGTAGTCTATTGGAGGTGTGTCACACGTCGCCTCCTACTGAACTATTTGTGTCACGAATGGCATGTTCCTAGTACAGTGTTCATTGTGTAAAAGGTCGATACAAAACATTGTCAGATGATACTAAGATTGGATGAGCCACATTTGAAACCACTCAACTGCATCACCGTAATATCGTGTTAATGAGATGGCCACAATGGTGTGAGGTCATCACCGCACTTTTTAAATTTTTTCCGCTGAAAGTTACAGGAGTGCATATGGTGTGTGATATGAACTATAAACACATTAATCTTTGCTTATAATTTTCTGTATTCCACTATATGATTACTATATGATTTGTATATGTATACAAATATATGTATTTACTATATGATTATTATTAATTAACTGCTAGGTTTTAGTACTTGTGACGGTTACAGATAATGTTCAATTAAATACACACAAACACAGGCATAAAAGACAAAAGCATAATGTAAACAGTTGGAGTAAGATTTGATTTGCAAGTTTGAAAATTGAATTGAAAAAACGCACAATGGGAACATGTCAATTTCGCAAAAACGCTGATTTTTACGCTCAGATTTTACGCTCGCATGAGGTTGTTTTTCAGGCATTACGAAAAAGGAATGTATTGCAAATAGAAACAGTTTTCGTGCATTTACAGTCACCTGACCTAGAAGACGTGGTGTGTTTGGGGTCCATGTACGCAAATAATAATAATAATAATTATCATTATTATAACTTTTATTAGGCTACATATAATAATACGTAATAATACATTATTCGCCACTACCTTTGTTTTTGTAAACTCACAATAAAAAAAAAACGTTGTGCTTTTGTAAAATAAAATAAAACAATCAGGAGCGGTTTCATGATCTCCGTGAACTGGAGCGCGAGAACTCATTTTCATTTCATTTATTCGGTTTGGTCATTTACAGATCATTCAATCAATCAATCAAAACATTCGAAACATAAATACTATAGATGACCAGGTGCAGGCGGAAGCTAAAGCTTATTATGCCTGCCCTTAACTGAAACAAAATATCACCTCTGTAGGCTAATGCTCGAAATGTCCCAAATTTGAATCGAAATCGAATTATGTATTTCGTATGAAATGCGCATTTCTCTCTAAAGATGCATCCGCTAACAGCAGAGATGGAGACACTGATTTAGAAAACAATAGTTTATTAATAAACAATTAAAATGCCTCGCTATTTTTTCAGACACATTTATTATAGCCTATAACTCGCGTATAAATCACCTTTCTGACGAGTCTTCAGTTTTGAATAAAGTTTTCATATATTTCGTAGCCTTTTACAACCTACAGTAAAGGTTCTCTGTTTGCTTTTTGGTAAATTACATGGAAACAAAAGGTAAATTTGACCCCCAACACAATTCGTAGTTTCTAAAGATTGTAAAGTCTTTATCTGTGTTGAAACTTTGCATGCACATTCATGACCTAAATTATAAAAAGTTTATAAAAATAAAATGTCAAAAATAAATAAATAATTGACAACAGCATGTCAAATTGACCCACAACACAATATTAATTCCTAAAAAACTAGCAGTTAGCCTAATTTAGCCAGTTTTTTAGGAATTAATATAGTGTTGTGGGTCAATATAGTCGATAGTTTTGGGTTACATATTTTTCTTCTTGTCAGTTATTTGAATGGCAGGTTTGGGCAGGAAGACGTAGTGCAGGCCTGGCGTGTGAAATATGCTGAGGTGTGTAACGCCATGGACATGGTTGGATTTGAAGAGCAGGTAAGAACTAAACTCAAGCAGGTGTCCTGTGGTTTGAATAAATGCTTCATCTGCAACTTTAAATAACATTTACTTATTACATTAGTAATTCATTTCATTTACTATAGAACAAAGCACAAACAACCGCAAAACCAGTGTGCAAACAGGTTTATAAACATTTAAATGAAGGTTTTACATGAATATAATTAAAATAATGTAAGAAATGTAATGTAAAAAAATAAAAATAATGATTTTTTTTATTTTAATATACTTTAAAATATAATTTAATCCTTTGATGCAAAGCTGAATTTTCAGAATCATTAATCCAGTCTTCAGAGTTACATGATAAAATATTATACACAGGAATAAATTACACTACTATATATTCACATGTTATAATATTTGTTTTTTGTTGTTGTTTTTTGTCAAATAAATGTAAGCTTTATAAGCAGAATAGACTTCTTCCAAAAAATATTAAAAATAGTAACGTTTCCAAACTTTTGACTGGTACTGTTTATGATTTTATAGTTATACAGATTTATTAGAATATAGATGCTACATTGAATATTTGATCATTTTTACACCACAGTACCTTTGAGGTGAACTACAAAAAGATGTTTGCGAATGCTGTTAAGTTTCACACCATTTTTTATGTATTTATTTACCTTTCCCGTTTCACATTCACTTCATCTCGTTTGTAGGAAAAGGTGGACATGATGACTATTCTTGCTGGCATTCTGTCCCTGGGTAACATCACTTTTGAAACAACAGACAGCGACGCACTGAAGGTGTCAGAGACGTCACGCGGCTGGCTAAAAGCTACTGCAGTGAGTTTCCTGTTTGCACTTCTTGCAGATGTGCGGCAACACACAACTGGTCACAATTCACGTGTCCTCATGACACTCGTCAGTAGATGTGACAGCTCTCAACCACCATTAAATGCATTTTTAACAACAGTGCTATTTTTAGTGTGCAAGTGTGAAGACAACTGGAAAGAAGAGTTTGAATCTCAAACTCTGAATACCTTGCGGTGCAAATGCTTGTACTGATGCATGAAATAGACAAAGGAATATAGTTGATCAACCTGGGCTGCATTTCCCAAAAGCAAATAATGGTCTGGAAAAGTCGTGGATAGCGCTAAATCGCGATATAGCTCAGTATGGTTTTCAACTCACAAAGGCTGTGATTTAATTTAAATAAATATATGTGCTGCGTGTTTCAGAGGGAAGTGCAGCACTGTGTTGGTTTACACACAAGCAGCTTATGATTTAGTGTTTTCAGTGTCTCAGAGCTAATAACAATAGTAATAATATTTATTTTTTTGTTTAAAGATATTTACTTAATTAATTGTTATTATTATAGACCATTTCACAAGATGTAAACAACACTGGTCCAGAAGCACTTCCTGTTTCAGTTTGTAACTATTTTCTTTATTTCACATGTAAAGAAAACATCTTAAAGATGTTGTTTAACTTTTTTATTCAGTTTTACATGTTCTGTTGGTTGTATTGTATCCCAGCTTTTGTGTAGTGTTAAAAAACTGAAACGGGAAGTGCTTCTGGACCAGTGTTGTTGTTATCTTGTGAAATGGTCTATAATAAACATTTTGGACAAATTTGCTGCCCTATGAAGCAAAGCAAACCTCCCCCACCCCCCTTTTTGCTTAGAACCATTTTTATCTGAAAAATAGAACCAAATTTATATATATATATATATATATATATATTAAATGCACTCAAAATTAGTTAGGCAACGAAATATTTAAAAGATGAACATAACTTAGGGATATGCAATATATATATATATATATATATATATATATATATACATATATAATTTTGCAAGATGTAAACAACACTGGTCCAGAAGCACTTCCTGTTTCAGTTTTTTAACACTACACAAAAGCTGGGATAAAATACAACCAACATGTAAAACTGAATAAAAAAGGTCAACAACATCTTTAAGATGTTTTATTTACATGTGAAATAAAGAAAACGGTTACAAACTGAAACAGGAAGTGTTTCTGGACCAGTGTTGTTTACATCTTGTGAAATGGTCTATATATATTAGGGCTGGGCAACGATTAATCGTGATCAGTGGTGGTGGTGTAATGGTGTGGGGATGTTTTCTTGGCACACTTTAGGCCCCTTAGTGCCAATTGGGCATCATTTAAATGCCACGGCCTACCTGAGCATTGTTTCTGACCATGTCCATCCCTTTATGGCCACCATGTCCCCATCTACTTCCAGCAGGATAATGCACCATGTCACAAAGCTGGAATCATTTCAAATTGGTTTCTTGAACATGTCAATGAGTTGACTGTACTAAAATGGCCGCCACAGTCACCAGATCTCAACCCAATAGAGCATCTTTGGGATGTGGTGGAACGGGAGCTTCGTGCCCTGGATGTGCATCCCACAAATCTCCATCAACTGCAAGATGCTATCCTATCAATATGGGCCAACATTTCTAAAGAATGCTTTCAGCACCTTGTTGAATCAATGCCACGTAGAATTAAGGCAGTTCTGAAGGCTAAAGGGGGTCAAACACATTATTAGTATGGTGTTCCTAATAATACTTTAGGTGAGTGTGTATATATATATATATATATATATATACACACACACATACATACACACTCACCTAAAGGATTATTAGAAATAAAATTGTTTCCAAAAAACTGGGGAAAATAAAAATCACTGTGCTTTACTGACTCAGGGTGCATAGATTCGTCAATGCTGGAGCTTTTTTCTCAAAAGAGCAATGATCCACAATTTTTTACTTTTTGTTTGTTGCTAATGTGTTCTGTGTGGTTGTTTACAGGGGAAAAACTGCATGATTTTCTCACCCCTACATATGAGTTTTTTTTTTTTCTCAGCTGTTTTGTGGTCCAGCTGGTGAAAGGGTTGGGTCTGATCACATAGTAAAGTAACAGCACACTCTCCTCAACGACATGCATGATTTAAGAAAACATTTAAGGATGACGAACACGCAGACCTTTTAATATTTAATGCTATAGAATTGTTTACATCCCTGACGCCAAACCATGAGCAACAGTAATAATGACGCTTGAAGCGTCACCTCGACCTCCCTACTGTTTAATCAGGTGAATTACGGCCTGTGTGCACACAAAGAAACTCTTATAAGGGCAAGCTGAAGGAGGCGTGCCACCGCCTACATCTGGCCTTTTACGATAAGACACACAGCGCAGAAGTGGCTATGTTTAGACTCCATTAGGTCGTCCTAACACGTATGGGGGAGTTAATAGTTGCACGCTGCATTTTCCTCACACAGGACGATTTCCATTTATCAAATCTACTTTGGCGTACTTTAACATATACATTGGTACAACAAAAGGCACATCAAATCTAATTTGCCCAATCCGGTCCATGTGTCCACAATGGCCCCCAGCATTTAAATGCACAAATTAACTTGACCTTTCCTGTATGACATTTATGTCTTGGTCAAATTTGACTAGTCATTGTTCTTTCAAAATGGCGTGGCCTGTTTTTTTGTGTGTGTTTTTTTTGGTAGCACAATTCATTTGGTCTGTGATTTAGCTGACAGCACATGTTCAGCATTCTTTGTTTTGTTTTTTTCTAAAATAACTTTCCTTTAAAACAATCCCGAATCTAACCTCAGGTGCGTATGCACTTTTTGGGAGAAACCGGGCTGCACAATTTTGAGGAAAACAAATGTAGTTTGGAAAGGCACTATATGATTAAATCGTATTATTAAGTACGGAAAGATGGTCTGTGCATGTTCTTTTTTTAAAGCAACCCAAACTCAGAGCAGATGCAGAGATGGAGTTTGTGAGGAGCAGTGTTTACTGTGAACCGAAGCGCTCTGAACCGCTCACACTTGCCATGTTTCACCCACCTATTTTTATTCAAATCTTAGTATATTCAATAAAAAAGTTGGATGAAAATGCCAAGATGTAAATACGCCTGATCCAAAATCTGTCATCACAATTATTTGTTTTAATTCCCCCCCAGAAGTGTCTCACATAATTGCGTTCACAAAAACCATCTTGCATCTGAACGCAAGAGCCGAACGCAAATTAGCTCTAAAGAAATATTAATAATCAATTATAACTTGTTTTAATTGATTATGAATATTTGGATTCGTGAATATAAATTAACTAGATGTAGTAAAATTACTTTTACAATGAATTAAAGGGGTGATGAACTGAGAAATTAAATTTTCCTTGAGCTTTTGACTTCTAAGAGGTCATTACGAGAATGACCTCAGACGAGAAAGTTTCAGAACTGAAAACGTCCTTGTTAGTCCAATAAAAGCCTCAGCAAACGACTCGTTTTCAAAGTGGGGAACTATGACGTCAAAGAGGATAAAACGCCACCCCCGCAGAAGAAGATCAACGCCTACTTCAACACGGCCGGTTTAGCCCCGCCCACCGATTCGCGCATTACACGCATAGCTAAATAACATAGATGCCTTCCTTGTGATGACAAACCGGATCGAGCTACCGAACGATACAGAATATTGTGCAGCGCCTGGTTGTGGATGAAGACAGTCGCTGCATGAGCTTCCTCTGGATTCCAATAGGACTGCATGGATAAACTTTATTTTTAATGACGTTCCAGCTGATGAGGTAAAACATCGCCCGTCTGTTCGCTTCATTTCACTGAGGATTGTTTTGTAAACAAGACTGGATCTGCAGACCGATTAAGAGTAAAGAACGGTGCTGTGCCGTCTATATTGGATCTGACAGGAATGGTGCAACACGGACTCTGAGTCGAACATGTATGGGCGAATCATTCCGGTTGCCATTTTACAACATTGCACATTTTCAAAACAATCTCCCCGAAGTGCACCAACGGGTGAGTTGAACCTCATTATAATATGCAAAACTGTTCTCCACTCACAGCAGTGGGCGTTTACTTCCAAGTCTTCAGTGCGAGACGCCCATAAAAACCCAGCGTTTTTCAGCTAGGCTCAAAAATAGGGTATAAAACAGCCTATTACTGATTAATTTTGATGTTTTTAAATGCAAAAACCAAGCAAACATCATAAGTTGACCTCAGACAACAATATAATAAAATTTAAAAAGCCAGTTCATGACCCATTTAAATCACAGCATTCGTGATTCGATAATCGCATTAAGCCATACGGCGATTTCGGTTTTATTTTTATTAATCATTCAGCCCTATGAGAAACGCATCCTTCTTGGCAAAAATCTTTGGAAAACCACAATAAATGAAGCATTTTGTGTTTTGTTTTTTTTCTGTGACCAGGGTCAGTTTGGCGTTCAGGAAGAGGATTTACTGAAGAGTCTGATCTGCACCATGTCAGTGACGCGAGGAGAGGCCATCCAGCGACTCCACAACCAGCAGCAGGCTGAAGGTACCACATCATCAGAGGGACATCACTGGTGTGTTTGACCCTTTTCTTATTGATCAGCATCTGTTTTAAATGATCATTTCAGATGCCAGAGATTCCATCGCTAAAGTGGCCTACGGTCGCGTCTTCGGATGGATCGTCAGTAAAATCAACGAGCAGCTTGCTCCTAATGTAGATTTTGACGTGGAGCTTAATGAAATAGGTAAATATACCAGTTCATGCTGTGACTGAGAAATTTGTGCACCTTTTGCAGGATGCAATCCATAGAATACAATTTTTTTTTGATAGACTAGACTTCTGTAGTCTGTACTGAATCAATCACGGCCAGCCGCCACCTTGTTGTTGTCCATATTCCCTGGGTTTTACGCACCTGAAGAAAAATGATTTTTTGTTCATTTAGAGCGCAATAATTTCTTACCTAAGATATGCGACATTGAGGTTTACTCTTTCTATATTTACAGGAATCCTTGACATCTTTGGTTTCGAGAACTTCGCTGTGAACCGGTTTGAGCAGATCTGCATCAATCTAGCTAACGAACAGCTCCAGTACTTCTTCAACCATGTGAGTCCTTCATAGTGCTTTATTAAAGGAGTAATTCACTTTAAAAAAAAAAACTTTTGCTGATAATTTACTCACCCCCATGTCATCCAAGATATCCATGTCTTTCTTTCTTCAGTCGAAAAGAAATGAAGGTTTTTGATGAAAACATTCCAGGATTTTTCTCCATATAATGGACTTCATTGGGAACCAAACGGTTCAAGGTCCAAAAGACACTTTCAGTGCAAACTGCAAACTGTTGAAAGGGCTTTAAACGATTCCAGATGATGAATAAGGGTCTTATCAAGCGAAACGATCGCTTATTTTTATAAGCTCAAATGGTCGCCTTGCTCTGTTCTGTCACGCACGTTTGTGACTCTCCTGTTCGAACTCGTTCATCAAATGAACAAATCTTTTTTGTGTCATTTGGTTCATTCAACGAATGAACTGAACGAGTTCATTTTGATGAACGAGTTCAAACAGGAGAGTCACGAACGCGCGTCACAGAACAGAGCAAGGCGACCATTGAGCTTATAAAACTTAAGCTTTGTTATTTTTTTTATTAAATAAGCGATCATTTCGCTTGATAAGACCCTTATTCATCATCTGGAATCGTTTAAAGCCCTTTCAACAGTTTGCAGTTTGCACTGAAAAAGTCTTTTGGACTTTGAACCGTTTGGTTCCCAATGAAGTCCATTATACGGAGAAAAATCCTGGAATGTTTTCATCAAAAAACTTAATTTCTTTTTCGACTGAAGAAAGAATGACATGGACATCTTGGATGACATGGGGGTGAGTAAATTATCAGCCCAATTTTTGTTTTTAAAGTCAATTTCCTCTTTTAAGAGTTGGACATTTATATAGGGAAGCCTATTTCATGAAACAAAAAAATATGACATGGTTTGGCAAGTGCACATGCTGACATATTTACAACTCAAGTTTGATCTGAAGTCTCATCTTGGACTTTCTTTGTCAGTAAAATAGCAACAACAACAAAAAACAAATTAAGAAAACACTCATGTAGTGTGTCACATAATAATCTTGAAGATATATCAGCCGATAGTGTGGAAAGCTCAAGGCAGCAGATGTTAGGAGCCATTAAATGCCACATTCGATCATGCTCACTGCCGATTCTTTCAATAGGACTTGATTTGCCACTCCATGAATCTCAATGATCACATTTTCCATGTCATTTTCCTCTAGCACATTTTTTTGATGGAACAGAAAGAATATAAAGAGGAAGGCATCACATGGGAGACCATAACCTACAAGGACAACAAGCCCATACTGGTAGGTTTACATCCAAAACCTTCACCCTCTGTGATTGTCCTGCACTCTCTCCAACTTTTTCCCCATTTTTCCATCTCTCTGACTCAAAATACACCCGAGCTCTGCGTTTGGCTGACGGCCGTGTGGTAAATCCCAAACACAGGAAGTGCTGACAGAGCAGGACACGTAGCTTAGAGAATCTCTCAAATTTCTGCATGCATTCTGACCCAAATCCTTTAGCACGTTGAATTGGAAACTATAGGAAACTGTGGTTTTTGCTTAAAGGTTGTTTCACCTCGTTCTCGCGTGAGATCCCTGGGCTGATCTGCTCTGTAAATATGAACTCTGCCCTGTAATTAGGGGAACTCAGTAGCCGCCTGTTTTGAAAGCTGCAGACTTGCATGTATTTCACATTCATGTGGTATTCAACTCTCAAACACTGCGTATCCTGTATTGTAACATTATTCTTTAGCGCCGTCAGCTAGAACAGCCTGTTTAGCATGGAGAACTCATTCACTCATGCCAGGTTTATTCCCGTTTCAGGACCTGTTCCTCACGAAACCCATCGGGATTCTCTCTCTGCTGGATGAGCAAAGTGCCTTTCCTCAGGTGTGTGTTGCCAACTGAAACCTGAGACGCAAAGAGAAAACATGTTGCCAAATCCTCCATTGAATCAACCGCTTTAAAAATATTTGTATCCAATGCTTTTATGCAAAGCGTCTACTTTGGACATACTTGTATATGTAATTTAAATCAGTTAATTCAAGTATTGCAATATCTTTAAAATTATATATATAAATAAAAAATAAAATTAATAAATTAAAAAAATATAATAAAAATATTTTTTAAAGAGCCTAAGTCCCTCCCCTTCCGGTCGACCACCATATATCAGAAAAATATTGTGTGGTAGTCAATGGCGAGAGACAATAAATATTTTGATCTCGTTTGAATTGTGCCCTGAATTACACATATGATGTTCGTCAATTTAATAGATACATTTTAAAGTAAAGAAAGTCGCAGTTTGATGTAAAACCGTTGAGGTATAAGCCTGTGAAAATACGTAAAGACTACAAACCCCAAAGGCGCACATTTTCTCCCAATGAATGAAGCTAACTTTACTGAGGCTAATGTCTGTCATTGTTTCTATAGTCTTACGTTCTAATCGTAACGTTACGAGTGTTGTGTACCAGACTGCACACACACAAGCAGCGGATCTCGCTCGTTGTTTCGCTTCCCGGGAGATGTAGTTCATAGAGCGATTTTCACATAAAACTAAATGTTACTCTTCTGTTTTATGACAAACTGCGACGTTTTTGACTTTCAGAATTTTCTTTTAAATTGACAAACATCATATGTGTAATTCAGGGCACAGTTCAGACGGAATAAAAAGACAAGTTGTCTCTCGCCATTGACTACAACACATATTTTTTCCGAAATAAGGTCCCATGAGCCGGAAGCGGAGGGGCGGGACTTAGGCTCTCTATATATGCCTTTTTTTTTTTACAAACCTCACCCATTTTGTTCTAATTTTCATTCCATCCCTATTTAATATATTTGTACGGTGGAGACTCGGATAACGTACGCTCTGTTCCATATACGTACAGTACACAGTGCACAGTCATGTGACTGCATTTGAGAGACTAGTGAATCTCAAGCATAGCAGTTAATTACACAATGTTTATGTGCATGTGACCGTTGTTGCACCCACAGGCCACTGACCGAGATTTTGTTGACAAGTTAAACAGCAAATTTAAAGCGGCTCCCAACTTTGAGGTTGTGCGAAACCACACCCCTCTGTTCACTATTGTGCACTACGCTGGGAAGGTGAGTACAAACCACCGTCATCATCATTACCTTACAAGTCATCTGATCAGTACATTCAACAAAGAGTGTAATCTGTATTGTAGTGCTGGTTAATAATTAAATGATTGTGTGCCATTTTTCCTAGAGCAGATGGAATAATAAGGGTGTTTGTCTTCATAATGTGTCCATTATTCCTGCGTGAAATGTGTTTTTGTGGTCTGTTTAGGTGCAATACAACGCAAGCGGTTTCCTTGAGAAAAACCGGGACACAATACCAGCCAACATTCGTGAGCTCTTCATCAACAGCGTCACTCCTCTACTCAGTGTTTTGTTCGCAGGTCTGAATTGCCACGTCTATGTTATAACAGCAATAAACGGACACACAAACAAGCACACACACACACACACACACCCAGAGATAGATAGATATACAAAAAACATAAGTGAATAAATTAAATGCATTTACATACGTTACATACATTGATTCATTTATATATACCGGTACATATATGTCTTTATTCTTGTGTGTGTATGAAGTTATGTATACATATATGTATTTATTTGTGTGTCTGTGTAAATGTATGTTTGTGTGTGTGTGTATTCATTTATTGGAGTTATAATAATGAAATATCATATATATTAATTATAATTATGCTTTTAATTTTTACTACATTCAATATATTAAAAAGTATTTATTTTATTTTATTATATTTTAGATGTCCACAGATGATTATATGGTAAAACCAGAAATAACAAACAAAAAAGCGTTTAGTCATGATTTTTTTTATTTCTCTTTTAAGTCAAATTTAGCATGGGTGTGTTCACTTATGCGAAGTGCTGTACACACACATTCATGTATACATCATAACTATTGTTGTGTTTTTTAATTTAATATTTTCCCTCTTTTTTTCAGCTACAATTTCTCGAACAGGCACTCTGATGCCAAGGAAAGCCAAGGTATAACTAAGATTTTGACTTCATTTTTGACACACCAGTTCTCTTTTCGAGTGCCTGTTAAAACATTTTGTGGTATTTCCCAAATACCTTTAAAGGCTGGATTTTTTTTTTTTAGAATATATATTTAGCTGTACAAATGACAAATTAGTCTTACCTTTGAGATGAGTGATAGTGAATCATGTAGTGTTTCACCATATGACCCTGTGTGTACCAATTTCAGTTACAAGTTGCAGGTGACAACTTTAACTCAACCAGGAAGCAGTCTGTTGGTGCGCAATTCAAGGTAAATTATGCTTAAAAATATAATCATAGTGGATGTTTTATATGCCAGTTTCTTAAATGCATCTTATAATCAAATGTATGTAAATGCATCTGCATATCTATTTGTTTTGTTTGTATATATCAGAAATATTATATTCTGTGGATAAATCTCTCAAAACACTGTCAAGAAGTTAATATTTCACCCCATATTGAAGTGAAGCCAAATTTTTGGTCTATTTAGCAGTTTTGCATTGTGATTGTCATAATTAGGCGCTGACATTCACTCATGCGTTTGACCCTGCCTATGTTTATTTAACCGTCTTTACATTGTTTGGAAACTAAAAGCGTTTGTTCCGTACAGCATTCCCTGGCTGTCCTTATGGAGAAGATGTTTGCCGCCAGTCCACACTTTGTTCGGTGCATCAAACCCAACCGAAGCAAACAGCCTGATCAACTAGACAGTAAACTGGTGATGGATCAGGTATGTTACCACAGGTTAGGTAGCTTCACAATCATCAATTCTCCGCTGGGTTCGGCCCCGTTTGTGGCCTCCACAGTGGAGCCAAATACATTCTCAGTTTTTCCTGTCCTCCAGTTCTCTGAGGTGTACTTAAAACCTGGAAGCCTTTTAGTGCTGTTATTTGAGTTAAATCCAAATCCCTCTAATGATAGAGGAGCCACTGGGTTTGTGTGTAAGGGCAAATATGGGCTGAACACTGTTTTAAGAGATTATCTTGTTTGAACTAGACAGTCACTGAGCAGCTCCATGACACAGTGTCTATAAGCTTTAAGTGGTGTCTGCCTGTGTAAAATTTGCCACTACTCATTCCTAGGTTGTTTTGAGTACTTGGTCATATTAGTAGTAGCAAGTAACCACCAACAAAATTTTGAACCATCCTGTTTAAATGACATAATTTGTCTCGATATGCATAAACTGTAAATTCCAAGGCTGTAAATCATCTGAAAATGTGTGTGACTTAATAGCAGTTTCATTCAGTACTTGTGCAGTTCCGTTTAAATTACATAACTATGCAACACTGCCACCTGCTGTAGAAGTGTGGAAATGCAGGTTGCAGCCTAAAAGAATAAAAAGCCTGATGTAAATGTCAATATAATATCAAAACTTGATTTGCGCGCACACACGTTGTGATTTCATGTGTTAACTTATGGGGACTTTCCATGGACATAATGATTTTTATACTGTACGAACTGTATATTCTCTCCCTTACACTAACCCTAACCGTATGATTTATACGCTGTTTTCCTCATCATGGGGATCAAAAAGAAATCCCATCAACAATTTCAGATATTGACATTTTTGGCATTTTTTTGAAAACAAAATATTACATAAACAATTATTTTATTATTTGAAATATTTATGTCTAATATATGTAATGATGTAATATTTAACCCTAAAACCATATTCTGGACAAATGTGGGCAAAATTGTTTTGATTTTTTTTTTTTTTTTAAATACTTCCCTTGATCTGAGCGGTACAAGACTTGGCTACTTTTCATAAGTTTGCCTCCTGAACACACACAATTTTTTTTTGACTCAATTCTACAATGTTAAGTGGGTGGAAAAAAAACTCATTAATCTTGTATTTGGGTAAAAAATGGGCACCCATAGAAATGAATGGGGAAAACTGTAATTTAGAGCATTCTAAAATAAGCCAAAATAAGACACCAGGTGACAGCAAAGTCACTTAATCTTTAGGTTTTAGCTCTAAGAACTTATTGGAATTATACTTTAATGTAGTTAAAAATAAAACATAAAAATAAGCATAATTTACATAGAAATATGGTGCTTTTTGAAGTAAATAAATTCAAAAATACCCCCAAAATTAAAAAAAACACCATAAACTTTATCGAAGATAGTAATATAATTGTGATATAACATAATATAATTTATACAGTCCTCTGAGCCCACATTTGTCCAAAATTACAGGATAAAGGTCTATAAAGTGAATACGGTTTGAAGGCCACATACATTTACTTATATTATTTATAAGTTAATATTTTTTTAGCATTCCAAATCTGTATGCTCCCTTTCTTCCTATAAAATACAAAAGAACATTTTTGAAAGAATATTCATTTTGCAGTTTATCACAATGTGGATTGTGACTTTTTTGGTTAATTTTTTAGTTTGATGGTAAAAATCTAATTTTGTTGTTCGTTCAAGAGACTTTTTTTGTGTTCATGGAAAAAACAGAATAAAAATGAGTGAATAAGTAATTATTTTTTAGGTAAACTATCTATTTAAAAGTTACCTAACGGTACCTTTCAGAATCTCAATCGTCCCATCCATCATATTTATGTTCTTATTTTCTGTCTCCTCCTCTCTAGCTGAGATACAACGGTCTAATGGAAACAATCCGAATCCGGCGGGACGGTTTCTCATGGCGTCCAACTTTCAAGGAGTTTGCAGAGAGGTTTGTGTGCTGGCAGGAAAAATGACATTTTATCAGTTCATTACATCAGATTACCTGCAGTATGACTCAGATTTCTGTCCCGTAGGTACAACATTCTGCTGCTGAAACCGGATCTCCCGTCAGACAAGAGCAGGTTTGAGCAGCAGATGCATCATATTGTGTTAAAGGTGCACCAAGTAATAAACCAACAGGTTTTCAACCTAAAGAAGAGTATAGTACATATGACAAATGTTTACATAATGTTAACTCGCATGAGAGGA